TTTTTTTTTAAAGATAAGTGCTATGCCCTCCCCTCCAAAAGAGAGAAACCCATTATCCCATTAATCTCTATCTAGCTGTAGAATGAGGTAGTGGCTCACAGAGGCATGTTGTTTATACCATTTCTCCAGGAATATAAAGCATTCCAACAAGTAAATGGACTGAAGATAAAATTGCTTAACTTCACAGCTGAAGGAAGAGTTATCCCAGTTTCCCTCTGAACTTTATGCAGGAATAGAAACAAGGGAAGCAATGGAGGCTGGCGTTTGCAATGTGTACCTTCCAAACTGACTTACAAAGGAGAGCTTGAATGTCCACATCAGTACTGTTTCACTGACTCCAGTGGAGATGCACCTGACTTTCACTGGTATAAAGGAGAAAAAAAAATCTGGCCATATGTGTATATACTGTAGAGGAATTCCTTTAGCCATTAGTAAAACCAGCCAACTATGGGTGTAATATGGTAACTTTTCTACCAGATTAGGACAAGAAGTGAAGAATGTTTGGCTATGGAAATTACACTAAGCATCCTTTATTCCAAATTGGAACTTGGTGCTCACCTGGGATGATTTCAAAGATAAACTTCCCTGCTTCCTCTGGGTTGGTGGCTACCTCCTTGATAGTGCTTCCCTGGAGAAACAGGCAGCCCTGAAACCAAAGAGAGCAATTCTTGTATTTCTCCTACTTGGAATGGAGAATAAGAGGAAAAGTGGAGTTGCAAAAACCCAAGAGCATTTTGGTTGAGTTACTTTCTATTTGAACTGAAATGAGTATTGGTTTGAATCATCTTGGTGAAAAACAAGCAGGGGTCTGTTAAAAACAAGCCCATTAAAAATAGCATTTTCCCCTCATTGTTCTGACAGGCCCTGTTGATGAGGTTTATTAGAGCACATGGTCAACGTGAGTTCTGTTCGCACAGAGACATCACTGAGACCCCATCTCTGCTTGAAATACAGCTAGAAATTAGAGACACATCTTCCAGCCACCCAGTTCTTGGCCTCCACGCTGATATTGCAATGAGTGGGCGGGCGTCTTTTGCATGCCCTGGATGCCTATCCACTGAAGATGAGGCCTAGATCCATCAGCCTTTCTTTCAAAGCAGCCATGTAACAGTTAGTAGTAGCCTCAGGATGCTTATCACAGAGGTCTTTAGGCCAGCGTCACCCTCAAAGGGCCTGAGCCAGTTATCGTTTCATAGTTTCTAGGGTCGGAAGGGACCTGAGAAGATCATCGAGTCTGACCCCCTGCCATGGCAGGAAAGAGTACTGGGGTCAAACAACCCCGGCAAGGTGTACATCTAGCCTCCTCTTAAAGCCCCCCAGGGTAGGAGCCAGCACCCCTTCTCTTGGAAGTTGGTTCCAGATCCTAGCCGCCCTGACCGTCAAGTCGCGCCTCCTGATATCTAGCCTAAACCTACCCTCTGCCAGCTTGTGACCGTTGTTCCTGGTCACTCTT